GCAGGAAGAAGTGAAAGCAGTTTAAGGGTTCTGACTTTGCTTATCTTAGCAGTGCATAAACATGGAACTAATTGACTGTCAAGCTGACACTGTTATCACAAGGGAATTAAAGATAAACTACAAGGCAGCAGAGACTTCTGTGCCCTGGCAGCCTCTAAATAGCTACATGATGGGGTATTTGGATGCCATGGAGCTGGGTGGCTCTGGGTGTGGGCAGAGTTTGCCTTTTGCAGCACATTCCTGCACCGGATCAACTCACTTCAGAATCTGCTCCTCCTCTTTAGCTTGTGCCTCTTTCTCTTCGATTTCAGTGACATCCTACAGAAAAACAGAACATAACTTTGCCAAATCTTGCTTCAATACAGATCCATTTTTGTTTAGCCTTCAGGTAATTATGAGACCAGTTTCTGCAGCAAGAAGTCTAAGTCAAATAATTGAAGTATTAAATCCAGCAACTTGCACATCCAAGCCCCTTCAACCACCAGGGCTGTGCCGGCTGCCACGGCCCTGCTGCTGCTCCATCTGCTGGAGAAATACAGGATGGCAAAAAAAAACCAACCCCACACCCCAAAGATAAACCTTCCCGACCTAATTTCAAAGTGCAGGAAATGAGGAGAGCACATGTCATGCTGGAACACGGAGAAACAAGCCTGAGCTCATTACCAGCCCAGAAAGGCAGCCCCAAGAGGTACAGCCCCACTGTACCTTCCACAGCGTGATGCAGGAGTCACTGGATGCTGACACCACCATATCATCCTGCTTGTTAGAGTGAAGACCCCAGATTTTATCTTCGTGACCATCTAAGGTTTTCACACACTCATTTGTTTTAATTGTCCAGAGTTTTAAGAGTCCATCAGAACCACTTGTGGAAGAGACAGGAACACAACAAAAATAATCACTGGATGGATCTCTTCTTCCTTGGTCCCACCTCAAATACCAGATACACCTGTCCCATTCCAATGCCTCTTACACAGGGGCAGAATTAACCAAAAATCTCCAGGGCAACACCCTCAGGGCACCCTCTGCCTGTCGTGTATGTCACCACCCCAGCAATGTCACAGCAGCCAACGAGAATCCAGTGTCACTGGAAAGGAATTATCCCCAGCAGATATCTGGGCATAAACATGGCACCTTCCTATCAGCCTTGCCCAAACTAAATCCACTGCATAACTCTTCCCTCTTGCTGCTGGTAACACCTAAGTTTTCCTTTCTGGCTAGTTCTGGCACCCCCCCCAGGCCCCTGGTGTGGCTCTTACCTGCTGAGCAGCTGCGTTCCTCGGCTTACGAAAATGATCTTCAGTACAGAGGCATCGTGACCTTCAAAGGTCTGGAAAACAGAAAGGAAGCTCTGAAGTGTTCACAGAGGATAATACATACTCCCAGAGACCAAAAAAGCAAGTTCCAAAAAGCAGCCTCTATCCTTGGGACTTTCTCCCAGCAGAGGCTGAAAGGGCAGCAGGAGATGACTTCTCCCTGTACCGTTTTTCCCACAACCTGCATTTGCTTGAAGGTGTTGCCCAAGGTCACGTTGCAAAGGGTCTGAAGGACCAGCCCAGTGCCCAGGCTGCATCCTCAAAGGTTGATTCCCCTGCCAGCCAGTGTAGTAACACTGCTGGGCAGAGCGTGGCACAGGGACAGCAGCTGCCTCCTTGTGGTCTTAGTGAGACACAACTGGGCCGCACAGGCAGTTCTGCGAGGAGTGAGCCTGAAATGTAAACCTGAGTGTTTTTCCTTCACTGCCACGGCTGTGCTAGGCAGCACCAGCTCTCCTTCAACAGTCTGAAGATGCTTTGCCCCCCTGATCCACCCTGTTGCTCACTGGTGAGCTATGAAAGGATGATCACTTGAGCATCGGGCTGGTGCTCTTGCATTGGAGCTGACAGATCCAAGGTCCTGGACAACAAAGCTAGACCCAGACAGCTCTTCATGCAGCACAGCCATGTTGCTGCATTTCAGCTGCAGTAACCAGCACATTTTGAAACAGCCTCAACCAATCCCCCTAACACACAAGGGCTGCCCAGAGCAAGGAGCTCTCATCACCTTCAGACAGCTGAAGTCCCGGAGACCCCAAAGCTTCAGAGTCCCATCTGCTGAAGAGGTGGCCAAGATCTGATCCACTGGGGAGAACTGCACACACCAGATCCCACGTTTATGCCCCATGAAGACACCCAGCAAGGAGCAATCAGCAGAGGACCAGAGCTTGGCCAGCCGGTCCTGCGAGCCCGTGGCCAGGAGCTTGTCATTCGGAGAGACCGCCACGCTGTTGATGTCCTGGAGGAGCCATGAGCAGAGAGAGCACAGAGCAAGTGGGGTAAGTTTTAGCTCGTAATGTTTGACAGGTAATAACTGCAGGGTACAATACAGGATGGAAAGAGAGAGGTTTCTAAGATGGATGTTTCTAAGGTCAAGCAGAGCTTTACCTTGTTGTGAGCCCTCTCGGTCACTTTTGCATGAAGGGTTTCTGGACTGGAGAGCAAGGCTGCTTTGGCTTTGGAAGTGAGGGATTCTGGGATATTCCAGATCTTGATTGTGCAGTCCTGGCTGCTGGTCACTACAAAGGTTTCTTTCATTCTGAAAGGAATAACAATGTCAAGTGTAAGGAAGCAAAAGAGCAGCCAGAAAGAGGCCTTACCCCCCTGGGATTTACACACCTTCAGTCACCGTGTGATACGAAGCCAAGAGCTTTTATGTCCACAACTTATGGGCAGACAGATGTGCATCCAAAAAACCCCATCCTTCCCTCAACCTCTGAGCACCAGAACAAGCTGGGACCAAGAGTGAGAGCCAGGATGGCCCCAAGGCAGGCACCCACCCAAACTCACACTTGTGAAGGGAAACTGGTTTTATTACCTGGAGCAGGAGACGGCGCCCACCCCGTGGGCATGTCCCAGGCCCCGGGCAACGCAGCTCACCCGCCCGTCCTTCTGCATCCGCCAGACTCGGAGGCTTTTGTCCTGCAAGGGGAGAGGACAGAAACTGCTGTGCTTTCCTGACCAGTCATCAGCTCCCCACCAGCTCCCTGCATCCCTGAGCCTCACTATTCCCTGCTTTTGAGGGCTGAAGCTTTGCCTGGAGCGGGTGGGGGCGGGCACAGCCAGGCAGGACGCTCTGCAGTGAGACTCCAGCCTGGGGGGTCATTCCTGGGTGTACCAGGGCAGTTGGCACCTCTTCTTCCAACATGGTTTTTTTTTGCTCCCAGCTCCCCATTAGTCTGACACCAATGACATCTCTGAGCTCCTCTGCAAGACTGAGATGCTTGAAGAATGAGACATCTCCTTTCAGGCTAATAACGTATCATCGGTAACATTTCCCCAGAGATAACATACAAAAAGGACTGTGGGAGAACATTATATTTGGGGGATGCAGGAGACAGGAATTGTGTCTGAACAAGATCCCTTTCTGGATCACCAAAAAAAAATCCCAGCTCTGCCCATAAAGATAAAGGAAGAGCTTCACTCTGTGAGGAAAACGAACGCACCTTCGCACAGCTGACGAACATCAGGCCTTTCCTGAAGACATCCAAAGCAAGAATTGTTTCTAAACAGAAGAAGAAAAAACAGCTGGATGCAAAGTAAGACTGAAACAAGACATCAGGAATGTGTGAATGAATGAGTGCACTGTTTACTACCTAGGGACAGGTTTGGGCCACCTGGGAATGTATCACACTCCCAGCAGTGACAGGCTGCTGATGGCCTGGGTGTGAGTCTGGCACCTGCAGCCACTGGGCTGCAGTCAGACCTGGCACCCACCACCCATGTCCTTAGTTCCAACTTAAACTGACCTCACTGCTAGTGAGAGGGACTGAACTGACTGACAGAGCTGGAAGAAGAAAACTAGTGCTTGTAAAGCCAGGACAGCATAATCCATCCTTTCTCCACACAGCTCCAAAAACCTGTTGTGATGCAGTTCTAGAGAGAAATCAAGGACTCCAGTGTCCATGTAAGAGTTGTGAAAGAAGGTGGATGAAGAAACACCTGCACATTTCCCACCGACTGAGGTCAGAGTTGATCTCACACACCTGTGTGGCCATAGAGGATCTGGCAGTGGGATGTTGCCAGCTCAAACACTTTCAGCTGGGGGCTGTTGGTAGCCACGACGATGTGAGAATCACCAGGCCCCAGGAACTTCACATCCAGAACCTCATCGTTGTAACCTGCAAGCTGAGGGTGGCAGAAGAGAAACAGCTTAAGGGGGAGAACAGCACCATGCTCAGCAGACTGTGTCACTGTTACTTTTTGATAAAAGTGTGTGTAAAAACTGTATCAGACAGAAGCTGGAGCAGGGGAGGGATTTCCCCTTTCTTTCCCTACCTTTGTGTCTGTGCAATATTCCCCCAAACAACCCACCCTGAAACTGGCCTTCTGGCTTGTCCCAAGGAACAGGGAAAAAGAGGCAGGAGAGGAGAGCACCCCTGGGTAAAAGCTCCCACCAGGAACAGAGCTGGTCCTTAAGCCAGGATGCAGGAAGAGGGAGGCTGAGGGTTGTCACCTGCTTCCTGAGCTGCAGCGTGTGAGCGTCGTACAGCAGGATGTTGTGCTCGGCGGTCACGGTGAGGAGCTGGTTCCTGGCAGGCAGGAGCAGGCACTGGGTCAGGCTGTGCTCACTGGGCTCCTCCTGCAGCTCAAAGGGCACGGTCTGGCTGTACACACAGGCAGCTGTGGCAACTTCCCAGACTTTCAGGATGCCTAAGGAAAAAAGATGATAGAAATGATCTGCCAGAGCCAGTTTCAAGCAGTGATTGTCCAAACAATATAAAGCAAACCCTGGCCTTGCCTGCTGGGAAGAGCTACACAGCTCCAAGGCAGGACTGGGAGGGGATCCAGCTACAGTTTTTCCTCTTCAGTCCAAATCAAACTTTATTGCAGTTTGAAAACATATACAGTTAAAGCTCCATGGCACAATCTAATCTGCTCAGCCACTGCTGTGGGGGGAGCACAGAAGGCTCTGCTCTCCAGCCCAAGGAACCCACACAAGGAACTCACATCCCAGAACAGCAGCACTGCAGTGTCAGGAGTCCTTTCCTGGCTTCCAAGCCTGGCAATGACCTGCCAGGACACTCACCTTTGCTGCCAGCTGTGACAAAGTGCAACCCCTCCTTCTTCACACCCAGCTGGGAGAAATCTCCCTTTCGAGGCAGCAGGACAGCGGCTTCCACGCTCTGCAAGAGAGTTGGTCCAACAGCAGCTGAGCAGGAGGGACCCGAGTCCCATTTCAGCACCCAGAGCTGTGCCCCAGCCTGCTGGGGGCAACAGGGACACCCACTGCACTGCCCCAGGCTATGCCCCAACTGGGGACAGGCAGGCAAAGACAAGGAGAGAACCAAGTTCTTCCATCACTGTCCTCCCTTTCTCCAGCAGCACTGGGGATGTATCTCCTCAGACTGCCCAGCATGACCCCACCAAGCCAGGAGATAAAGAAAATAAACAGATTTAGACACAGAGATTCAGGGCCTTTAGGAAGTGCAGGGGGGGAAAACTGATTTCACAACATACAGGAACGTGAAGAGGGAGAGGGACCATAGAACTGTGACCTGGGCTCTATAAAGGATCTCAGAGGAACAAAGCAAAAGCCACTTCACCTCGTAGACAGGGACGGTGCGTTTACTTTCTCTGGTCTTCAGGTCCCACACCAGGCAGATTTTATCACGGCCAGAACTGCAAGCGAAAGGAGCTGTTTCAGTGCCAAACCCATAAACTCAGGCCTCGTGGGAAGAGGCCCATGTGCAGGAAGGCTTCAGCCTTCCCAGTGACAGCAGCTACACTGCCAGACACCCAGGGACCTGGACCCTCAGGCACTTGCTTGTCAGGTCAAGCAGAGTCTGGGCACTTGCAGCTGTCCGTCCCTTCCCAGCTCCCACAGCATGCCCAGGCTCTGGCAGGTGAAGGGGAGAGCAGGGTGCAGCCCCTGCAGGGGGGTACCTCAGGAGGGTGTTGCCATCAGCAAAGGCCAGGGAGGTGACAGCACTGAAGTGCCCGTCCAGGGTGGCCAGGCAGCGGCTGCAGCCCAAGTCCCAGATGCGGATCTTGTAATCCATGGAGGAGGAGAAGAGCCGTGGCTGGGAGACATCAGGGTGGAACTCAACCAGGCTAGAGGGAAGGAGATGCACTTGAAGAGGAGAGGAGCAACCCAGCTGGTGTAAGCCCAGTCTTGAAAGTGACACACGCTCCACACAGGGCTGGGTAAAGCGGTCGGTGTGGGTTTGTACCAGGACTTTCTTGGCAGGACTTCCTCCCTCTGCCAGAGGCACAAATATTCCATTTGGTTCCCAAGAAATTTCTTGATCAAACCCTTTCCTAGAGTCACTCGCAGCTCCTTCACTGCACACCTCAAACATCAGGGGACAGAAGAGCCCAGACCCTGCCTGGAACCTGCTCTTGCATTCCATCAACTCCAGACTTTTCCCAGTGTCCAAGCACCACATTCATACCAGCAATGGACAAATACAGCTCATCCTTACTGTACAACTCCTGAGGATCCTTTCAGGTTGTGTGTGCAGTACTGCTTGATCATATCCCAGATCTTGATGGTGCTGTCACAGCCACCTTGGGAAGAGGGGATATAAAGGGATATATCAGGAGAGAGATGGAGGGGGGGTCACCTCATCAGAAACTGTAACAATCACAGGTTGAAAAGGCAGCAGGAAGAAAAATGAGTTTGGTAACCACCACACACAGCAGGAGAAGCTCAAGGAGCACCTCACCTTTTCAGAGAGCTGGGCAAAAGCTGACTTCTTGCAATCACACCCAAAGGACAGTGAAGTTCCAGCTCACACCCACCCTCCTCCACCTCCAGGAGTCCCAGCTCCATACTAGGACAATGAAGCCACACTACCTTCTAGACATTTTTCAGCATTTTACTAAGTGTATTTTAGATAGAGCAGTGAAAGGATCCCCTGTTGTCTGTTAAAACATCATTCCTCTCTAAGGAAAACCTCTTGTGCTGTGTCTGAGGTCAGGAGGTCACTCCCACAGCTGAGATGAAGGATCCAGAAGCAGAGGAGCCACTTCCTCACCATTCCCACCCTGTGGCAGTGACATGGGGCTGTACCTGTGGCCAGCAACGTCGAGGTGGAGTCAAAGGCCATGCTGGCAACTGGTGCCACGTGGATGGCCCTCCAGGTGCGGGTGCACCTGCCCTCTCTCCAGTCCCACTGCCGCAGCAGCAGCGCCCGGCTGCCCGTCACCAGCACCTGCCCACAGCCCGGGAGGAAACCACAGGTCACAGCTCAGCCAGCTGGTTTTCCCAGTGCCCATACACAGGGCACAGAAATGCCAGTTGCTGCGACATTCCTGAAGCTCTGGCAGCCTCTCAGAAGCCAGAAGGGGCTGGAAGCAGCTGAGCAGACCCCATGGAGCTCTCTGGAAGTGCTGGGAGCTTCCCGGGGGAGCAGCCCCCAGGGCTCCCTGCTCCAGGAGCCCTGGCAGAGCAGCACAGATACCCCAAACACACACCTCATCATCGGGGCTCAGGGCAAACGAGGTGATGTCCTCTTCCTCCTCCTGTAAAAACGAAAGGAAAAAGAGCCCAGTTACACCCGGTGTGGGGGGATGAGCCCTCCCAGCTCCCTCCTCCAGGCTCCCATGGACACCGAGCACAGGCAGCAGCTCCCGGCCGAGCTCGGGGCCACCACAAGTCCCAGGGCTCAGCCTTCCGGGCAGTTCCCGGACCCACAGCCCGGCAGGGAACCCGCCGCGGCCGCACCTGCTGGAGGCTGCGCAGAGCTCCGGTCTCCACATCGATGATGTTCAGCTTGGCCCCGCAGGGGCAGAACAGCAACTTCCCGTCGCGGTTTACCTGGAGGAAAGCGAAAGGG